GACCGCTAAGGTTGTTGATAAGACCGATGCGAGGTCGAAACTGCAGTCCACTGGTGCCTGGATGAGAACACCTTTTGGGAAAGCAAAGCTATGTGAAATCCAATGGAGACGTCATCTCAACTCATTTGATCGTGGGAAAATTCTTCTTCTACCAGTCCTTCATCACCTTTAACGAAATTGGGTGAATACATTTCAAAATAATAGGAGATAAGCACTTCTATCCAGCCTTCAGTTTGTATGCATTTGTAACCCACCAAAAATTATATTTTATTCCCTTGGATCTAATTCTACTCACCCAGAAAAGAGTGGACTGCCGTGTCGACCTCGTCGGAACTGGTTTCATTAGCACCTCCAGCGGGACTCGAACAATGCCAGTGCAGCGTATACTCTCAACGCGTTAACCACTGCGTAACATTATGATAAGGGCTCGTGAGACCCGCTGGACGAAGTCGAAACTCCAGTCCACTCCAGCAGGGAGGAGAATACCTTTTGAGTAGGCAAGACTATGTGAAATTGAACGGAAACGTAAAGTCTACTCATATGACTAGCCGTCCTTCATCAGTTTAAACTAAGTAGGATGAGCACATCTCATATATTTGATTTATTGACAGTCTCGAAAGCCTATTCACAAATAAAAAATAAAGCTTTTATGCACCATTAGGTTAACATTTCCAAACCCGATTGGACAAAGTTGCATTATCCTTTCACCCAATTAATCATATAAAGTGAAATTATTATCTCACACAACTCATCTTTGCTGCAACATTAGGTGAGAGAGTGTCGCTTCCAACGATGGATAAGACGGTGACCTGACTTTTCATTTCGAAGGAAAAGTTGGCTGGAAGGACGTCGTGATGTGGTCTCACCGGAGCTCGAAGGAGGATTGCCGCGTAGCGAAGACTGTTGAATTGTGTGAACAAGTCCTCGGCTCACCGTCCTGCGAACTCGATATTGTGACTGACATCCTCAAAGCAGGTATCCATACTTCACGAAATAGGGCAAAAGTATACTGAACCAAGAGAGAAGGTGTCCAGCTGTAACGCTTGTTCGCGATCTTAATGAGGCATCCCATGATTTGTTCGGCTACTTCTACCTTACACTACATGCCACTTTTTATCTTGGTTTAGTGTACGTTTGCTCAATCTCGTGAAGTATGGATTCATGCTCGGATGATGTCTGTCACGACAGGACAGACGAAAGCTTAGCACAGATTCATCGAGGACTTCTTCGCACAATTCAACAGTCTTCCATACGCGGCAATCCTCCTTCGGTTTCAGGTTAGAACACATCACGAATTCCTTCCGACCAACTTTTCCTTCGTTATCGAAAATTATGTCACAATATATCAAAATCCAGTTTTTCTTCATGTATTTGATGGATAACACTTTTCTGTACCCCCAGGCTATGGCTGGTCAAAGTACCAAGTACGCCTTGGATCTTGTTGCCGTGCTCGATAAAAATCATTCCGATACCTTCTGGTATAACGACGCTCAGCCGGACTGTTGCGACAAACTTGATGTGGGCTTAGGCCCTGGTGAGATTGCGCTGACGTGGCTACAGGGTCACGTAAAGCAGAGTTCATGTGGATCACATAAAACTGTCGTAACGGGCTGACATTGAGTTTGGCTGCCTCGTGGAGGCCTCCTCTTAAGCCTGGCAATGGCATAATTTTGTGTATAATACGCCAGAGTGACATGTGCTCTTACGGGTTTTCGTGCATAGAAGCAAAAGGATGCCGGCTTATAGAGATTTTCGTTGCAATCAGCTACCAGGATTCGAACGTGAACGGACATCCGCGCATAATGACGTTTGTTTTGTTGCACTTAGCTCATAGAATGTGATAAAACCGTTGAAGACTAGCTGAAATGCTCTTCACTTCATGAGACTATATAAGCGCTAATTCGCCCATTAAATAAAGTTATTATCCATAACATGTGAATTGTAAGACATAATAAACCGCTTTATTGGTGCTTTAGACGCAGATACAACATTAGCCAATGACAAGGTGGAAGAAAGCGGTGTATGCGTCATGAGATTGTCAGTAATTCTTGAATGAGTATTCCGTCAATCTGGGCCAATTAACGTATAGCGTTTCCAATACTGAAGTGAATAGGCCTAGTGATACCATTTCATTGTCTGAAAATTTTTCTGATACCGGTCAAAATGTTGTTCCGACCTTGCCTCATCAAGTCACCAGCTCTGAAAACGGGAGTCGAAACCTGCCCATCCGTATCATGGCAACCGCGTCACATTAAAATTCCACTACACAGGCGCTGACATGAGCACCAGTGGATCTCACCGGTCAGAGCTGGCTTACAATGAATGCCAGACCCTTCTCAAATCAAGGATAAGGTAGAATTAATCGAAGGTATGAAGACCAATTTGGTGTGGCCTTTTTTATGGTCGCGGTCTCCTTTCGTTGTGTAGAATAAGCTTGGCCTTGCTTTCGCAAGTTGGTCGTATTGGCAGAAAAAGCTAGAGAAATGCACCTGGTCCGGAATCCATAGTATGCATAATAATTTCTAGAGTCGGACCGTGGACTTGGTACATTCCCAGACGTTCCGTCGGCATGGTTAGTGGGCCTTGTCAGTCTTAGCACCACACTACAACTTGTCAAAGAGACAAATAAAGTCGATTCTTTGGCACTAAGAATGACAAGACTCACTGACGATGCTGGTTACAATGTCAGCGAAACTTCTGGAAATGTACCGAGGCCACCGTCCGACTCTGAAAATGATCATGCCAATACGACCAAGTTGCGAAAATAAGGTCAAACAACTACTATCAAAATAGAACTGTCT